AACTATTTTTTTTTGCTCTAATATAAATTAAAATTAAATATATCTGAAAACTTTTCCTTGTTCTTTTCCTATGTGTGCCTTGTGCAAACAGTTGAAAATTAGTTAATTCTCAAATTTATGAAAACTTGAGAACTACTACCTTGAATGATGGAAGGAACATTTTGTGTAAAATTCTTACATTAGAAATGAATGGAGCTAAAAGGAGTAAAAATAACTAAAAAGTTGTTTTATTTCCTATTAAAAGTAATAATTTTTTACTTAATGTTATTTGAATTGTGATTTACAAATGAATGATGGACTTTGCAAAACAGGTTTTGGATACAGAAGTCCAGTTGCTAACATCTCTGAATTTAGCTGCATATGTATGTGTGAGGAAGTATGTTTTAAATCTCTTACCAACTATGACAAATATGCCCCAAATGCCACTTTCAACCCCTGTCTTGTACCATCAGTTAAGTCATAATTGAACCTTGATTTCTTAAAAGTGTTGGGGTTTATGTCTATTGCTACATATTACTTTTTTTTTAAAGCTCTCTTTCACCTCGTCGGCTCTTCCAATGTTGATGTGAAAAATGCAATGACCTTCAGTGGGCCTCTGGAAGACATGTTCGGGTACACAGTCCAACAGTATGAAAATGAGGAAGGGAAATGGTAAGCTGTTTTTCTTTTCTTAAATGAAAACTCCAAATTATCAGGTATTCAGTTACTCAGGTGCTATACTATTATTTGTGAGTATGCCTGATATCTAACAGTCAGATTCTGTCGGCCATATTTCTTAAACTAATGCACAGTCCCAAGGAAACCTGGAAAGACTCGGAGACTGAAAGATCCAAATTTATATCTACATTTATTTCCTCAAAGACATAAATGAGTTCACAAAGTGGGTAAATTCCCTTGTTGATGGAGCTGAGAAAGTTTTGTGTTATGCCTGAGCCTTCTTTTTTCCATTTACCAAATAAAATCACTATTTATCTTTTCCTTGTGTTAATGTATTGGCAGTGAAATTGCTCCTGTTTTACCTAACTAATCTGTATTATGTATTTTTTTCTGAAGTTTTCTGTCAGAGATTGTCTGAACTGAGTTTTTTAACTGGTGGGAAGATTTCCATGTTGAAATATTTGTTAATACAGTACTCTGCCTTCCCTTTTGGAGGGCTAATTATGTCTTGTAACTGGTAATACATTCACATTTGGGACTTGGAGCCACCTTCTTAACCCATCTTTTCCTTCTTGTTGTTCTCCTGAATTAGAAGTTGCATTTTGGCAAGCTTACTGGTATCATTGCTTCTTCGTCTTTTGATAAACACCTGCTTATGCTTTTCCCTTGTAAGAACAAACTTTGCAGGCTAACCACTGGGCTGGAGGGCTGAAATAACAATTGAATGGCAAAAGGTTTGGGAATCCTGAGACCTTCATCGTTCTTTGCAGATTGCTCTGGTCTTCCCAGAGCTTTGCCAGTAATTTTACATTCCTGGTAAACCCAGGGACTCCCGTGGGCAGCCTGGGATGACAGGCACATGGCTGCATGACAGCCAGGTCAGGCTGTTCTGCAGTGCCCAAACAATCCCTCTCTGCAAGCACTGGGGCTGTCTGGCTCCAAGAATCTGTCCACCACTGCAACACAATGTTCACCGTTAGACATAAGGGGTGTTCACAGAAATGAAATTGCAGAGCCTGCTGTTGAAAATGCTAGCTCTTGATTGCCCAGGTTGTAGGATGTTTAAATATACATCTGCATGAGGGTCATGGGAGAGTAATAATGACTTTCTTTGAGCTAATTTAGACTTTCAGGAAATGTTATCCATTCTAGGAGCTGGGATTTTGCAAAGTAAGCTATATTGTCGTAAACTGTCCTGAAACCTTTCAAGAGCAAAAAATAATTCAAGCTGGAAATGGGGACTCTTCCAGTAGCTTAAGGAAGACAGGACTCTAATCTAGTGTGCTAGATCTGAACATCTCTGAAATTAAACTCCAGAGCTGCTGTGAAATTGTCAAGCTTTCAAGTTGCTTTCAGCATAAGAACATCCAGAGCAGGAAATCTGTAGGTTGATGGTTAAAAATAAATATACAAAGCAGCCTTGTGATGCTTTGTCAACTGCTATAATGCTGCCTAGATACCACAGATAGAGCTTTTCAGCCGCAGATGTTCTGTAAACCTGACCGCAATTGTTTCTCAATAAAACTGGGGTCCCCTAAAAAAATCCTCGGTGCAAAAAGACAAAATAGCTTTTCAGACCCCTTCTCTCTGTTCATGGGCTCTTTCTTTTTGAGAAAAGAAGAGCACAGGGACATAATGCTGCTGAGCATTGATCACCTCCCGTGGATGTCAAGCACACTCAGCTTCTCTACAGTTAAATGGAAGTCAAGGATGCATGATAGGTTATGGTGCCTGTCTCTCAATTTTGGTGTAAAAAATACATACATTACAGTATATAGCTTGAAAGAGCAGTCAGATCCACTTGGAGCATTTTATTTTGCTTTAGAATTAATTTCTTAGTCATGAAAAAATCTTAATGGATCATAATGAGCTGTTCCAGTATGGTTTTTTAGAAGCTGGATTGTGTACTGGGTTTAAATTCTCCTTTCTGTCTTTTTCAAATCCGTAGGCTACATTTTACCTATTATGTCCTTGTATTCAACTATCTTCTGCCTGGACTCATTAATTTATGATTAAAGGTTGAAATGGTTCTCTCAATAACTCTTCACAATCATCTAAGTGTCCAGGAGCAAACCTTACTGAACTACTACTCTTAATGGCAGGATTTCTGTTTCCAGTGTGTGCTGTAAATTCTAATTTAATCCAGGTTCTTCCTTACACATTTAATGGAGCCAGTTGTTAACTGCTGGGTAATGCTGGGTTATTTAGTGTAGCTAATGAAGATTTGAGAACAAAAACAATGTCCATCTCTAAATAACGTTTCCTGATGAAAACTGGATTTAGGAGTGGATGTTAATTTGTGATGTTTACAAAGTACTGTATGAGAATAGTGATTTTCGATCACACCAAAATTTAAAAAAAAAATGCACAGGATAAAAATCCTTAACATTTTAAAAATTTGACATTTCTTTTAATAATCCTTTAAATACCATTATTTTTATCAATGAGAGGAAAAATCATGTATTTTACACTGCTGGCTCGCATTACTTAAGACTGGATTCTTCTTCTGGGTGCCTGTGAGCCTCTTCTTTGGCATGTGGTCTCTCAGCATTGAAAATACATTTTCTTCTAAAATATATTAAAGATCAAGGAGATATTAAATAAAACCGTTCCTTCTGTATTACTTTTACTACTTGTCATCCACCCACCAATATTGCTTTTATTTGCCACTGGAATTTTTTTTAATGTTATTCTATTGTTTAATTTGTTATATAGGCACATTTCCTTTCTGTGTCCTTATTAAAGAGGAGACAGAACGGCTGCTTTTGCTTGTATCTGAACTAGCATAATAGATACTTTTCTTGCTCTCCATCCTGTACTCTTTGTACAGAGTTTGCTGCAGCTGTGCTCTTTGTAAGTTTTATTTGCTGACTTTTGTGCCTTTTAAGAAAGAAGAAATTTCAGGTAACTTATTTCATTTGCAGGGTACTTATTGGTTCACCGTTAGTTGGCCAACCTGAGAAAAGAACAGGAGATGTATACAAATGCCCTGTAGGAAGGGACAACCAATCACCCTGCATAAAACTGAACTTACCAGGTATGAAAGAAAATGAAGTTGTGTCATGTGAAGGAATAATAGAGGTCAGATCTTAGGAGATTTTTAGCTAGGAAATATGCATTAGAATTGTTTCTATAGAGAAAATTTACTTAGGACTCCAGAGCTAAATGTGAAGGAAGTTGTGTTTGTAACATCAAAAATAATTTTATTTTAAAGCTTCTCATTGTCCTATGGAAAACATGCTCATAATTTTAGAATGGGCATTTGGCTGTGTTATCAAAACTTTATTATGACTGGCATTAATTGACTGTGGTTGGCAGTCCTGGCCAAGGAGCCAGAAAGGCCATGGAGCATAGTTTCATGGATTACCCTTTCCAAAGCTCTCTGAAGCCAGCAACAGCCTTCATAATCTCATCAGTAGGCTTTTGATGAGAACCTAACTAGCCAGAAGGAAGCTGATGCATCTTAATATGATACAGGTAATTATTAATCCTTTTCTTGCTCATGTCAAGAGATACGTGATGTAGACAGGAAGAGACTTCCTGTTAATATGAATTTCAGTAAATACACCTGTCGTGGTATTTTTCATCTCCTCTTTTTCCTTGAAAGCCTAAGTGTCAGTAATGTAACATAACAGTAACAAATCTAAAAGCTTTTAAGTCATTTATAGCAGGCCAGGGTAAAAAATGAATGTTTATTTTCTAATTAACCAAACTGTGTGAACAGTAATCTCCTGCTTTCCTGATGTGCTGTTATTTTTACTTCTTTTCTTTTTTGCGGTTCAGGAAAACTATTTGAGACAGCAACCCAGACAAATTTTCTGGGATAAAGGCCAGTCTCAGAAATTTTTCTTGATTGTTGCAATTGAAGAAGGAGGAGGAAGGGTGCTAAAATATTTGATGAAACCAGTGTCAGTCTGGGTTTTATTTTAGAAGCTGGAAGCTCCATACTAGGGGATATATGCTTTAACATTTTGTTTTCATGTTCCCAAATACTTAACATTTTAATCTATTTATAGCTGCTACTTCAGTTCCTAACGTTGTGGAAGTAAAAGAAAACATGACTCTTGGAACGACCTTAGTGACTAACCCAAAAGGAGGCTTTCTGGTAAGAAAGGACTTTTTGCCAATTTTAAAAGAAGTCTGTTTTTTCGTAAGGTACCATAACAAAAAAATTTCACCCTTTTTCATCTTTTACAGGCATGTGGACCACTTTACGCTTATAAATGTGGGCGTTTGCATTACACAACTGGCGTTTGCTCTAATGTCAGCTCCACTTTTGAAACCGTTGAGGCGATTGCTCCGTCTGTGCAAGGTATGCATGCCACAGTAATTCTCTTGTGTGTCTGAAAATACAAAGTGCAAACAAGACAAATGTATACACATGGGCATACCAAAAAGTATGAACTGCTTAACTAGCTACCAGCATTACCAAGTTAAGTAAATGTTTTCATTGTCCGTATATAACCTAAATTCTTGCTACTTTCGGAATTTATCTTAGTATAAACAATCATTAGAGTGCTATGTGACATCCAAACACAATTGCTAAAAATAGTTGCTTATGTTTTTTAGTTACGGCCAAAAGACTCTTTTTAAATAATGACGACATGTTAAGACCTAATACAAACCCAATTTAGTAATATAGATAAAAGTCTTAAAGACCTGGTCCTTCGGAAAAATCAAAGAGGAACAGATTGACATTGAAGAAAGTAGGAGTCATTGGTAAATACTCCAGTTATGTGATCTTCTAATCCCATTCTTAAATTTCTGCTACAAGAAAGTGCCTTGGTGATAAAGGGAACACAACTCATGTAAAATGCGAGGCAAAAGTTGATGAATGACAGTTGGCATCAAATATGCAGTTCAGCCCCACTGCAGAAAGATATGCATTTGTTACTAATCACAAAAGTAACCGGAGCTGTGAGATATATTTAATCCATGTTAGTATCGATTCTTATGTGGCAATTTGTGTTGCAGAATGTAAAACCCAGTTGGACATTGTCATAGTCCTCGATGGGTCCAACAGTATTTATCCATGGGAGAGTGTCACAGCCTTCCTAAACAGCCTCCTGAAAAACATGGATATTGGTCCTCAGCAAACACAGGTAACACAGTAGGTATTTTATGGCTATTTAATTTGCAAGGAAAAAAAGGGTTTCCAGAAAATGGGGTGGAGTGTCATCTGTGGAGCTCTTCAATTCCAAGAACTTACGGCAATGGGGTACTAAAACAAAATAGCTGAAACCACAAATAAGTCAGTGTCTGCTGCCAAGTAACAATGTCAGGGAGGCTCTCCCTCCCCCTACTGCTCAGGCATTCTGCAGAAAGCGACTTTCTAACCTAGAGACAAAAGTTCAGTGCATTAAGTGAGGCCGTTTGCATGTTGTCCTTTCCCACTTCCTTCGTCTCCACAACCGCTTCTTGTCTTCTTTGTACTTCATAGCACAAAGGTCATTTCTGCTTCTCTGAGGTGCACATGCATGTTTCAGACAGCCTTTGATTATAAGCTTGTTGGAGCAGCGTTCAATATTTTGTACTGTGGAGCATTGAGCATACAGTTTTTAGACATATGAAATCATAATTAACGAGTGGCTGTTAAGCTGCATGTTATTAATGTCAGAAGCTGCATTTATATAATGAGTGGAGAGGGCCAAATTCCCAGCTGCTATAAATCAGCACAGTTCCACCAGAATTAACGGAGCTAGAACCAATTACCCCAGCGAGGATCTGACATATGTTTCACAGTCTGCTGAACAGAGTATGTAAATAGCAATTCTGGCAGAACTCGGGGAAGGGGGAAACATGGATGCTGGGATACATTTTAACAGAGAAAGCTTTATTAACAGCAACAGAAGAAACCAGGTCTTCTTTTCACTGGTCCCTTTTCCTCCTCCCGAAATCAAGGATTTTCTGGGATCCTGCATGATATTTGATATGCTGCAGGCCAATACTTAGCATTTTTGCCACTTCAGGTTAGCTCCTGACATTCAGCTGCTGCCTTCACAAAGGAGACTGTGAGAAGGTGTAAAGGATACCTCTGTCTGCAGAGAGTATCCCCATCATTTTCCAAGTTAATTGGGGTTTGTGAGTTACCACCCAGCTCCCCTGTTGGCTGTACTGAACACTGGCTGATAAAACTATTACTTATAAACTGTCAAGTTTACAATCATATCCTATTATTTTAAACATGTTGTTCTTCCAGATATTGTGAGGAAGAAGGAAAAACAAAAAAATTCTTCCTGGTCCCTTAAGCTGGTGATTACTCAAACATGTGTGATCTTGGGAAAATACTTAAATCTGAACTTTCCAGTACAGGGCAATGGCTGCATGGAAATCATCACTGCCTTCTGCCCAAAGGGCTTCACGGGAATAGTACACAGGGCAATCAATTCTACTGCACCCTCACCTCTCTTCCTAACCCTTCAATTCCTAAATTTTTACATTGCCACACCTCTGTTATGTTTGGTTTTGGAATCCTTCCTCATCTGTGCACTCAGATTGTGCACAAAAGGTTCCTTGCTGGCCTGCACTCCAGCAGCCTGCCATCTCCACCCACAAAATCTGTTCTACCCACAGTTTGGCATAGCTACCCCTCTTCTCACACATACACTTACTCACTCAAGAACGTTAGCTTTGGCATCTGATTGCTACAGAGCAGAAACATTTGAAGGGGAGATAAGAATGGGATAAGGGGGAGAGAGGCTGAAAAACTGGAAATGGAAGGCAAAAGCTAAGTGGAATTTTCTTGGTTTCTCTTACCTTCCCCCCTCTCCCCAGAACATATGCCATCTCTCTTCTCTCCTTCAAGCCCCCTGCTTGGGAACCCTGGCACAACTAAGGTAGTAACAAGTTTATACCATCTCCACCCACACTCTCTCCTTTCTCAGAAACCGTGTTTACATTACTATTGAATGGGGAAGAGGAGAAACGCCAGAGCAGGCTTATTTCTCCCCTCTTCTCTGGGAGCACAGAATAGAAATACAGGAACAATTGTTTACTTTCTGTCTGTTTAAATTGATTTTTCCATATTCATCTTTTGGGGATTGTTGAGCACATAGAAATCAGTGGACTTTCACTGACTTCAGATTGTTTTCCTCTTGCACGGGAAAGGAATGAGGTGATTACAGAATAACTCCTTAGCAGCTTGGGTGTGACTTGTTCAAAACCTTGTTTTGATTAGAGCCTTGTGAGATTTTTTTTTTTTTTTCCACTTACCCCCTTCATCAACAAACATCATTAGATTTGTGGCAAGTCAAAAGAGAAATTCCTCAGTGTCCCATGTTTGGCAAATTTGAAAGTGAAAGCCAGATGCAGAAAGCCAGATGCAAAAAGCCAAAGTTTATGGTATAATTTTTGCAGAAGTATTTCCTTCCTTTCCTCTTTCCGTTCTCCAGAAAATCCACAACACCATACTGATGGTTAAGCTGCATATCCTGAGCTTAAGGATAAAAGAAGTAAAAGGAAAGTGATGATAGAAAAATGGAAAAGGAAGAAGGAATTAAATAAGGAAAAAATGGTACAAGTAGGAACAAAATATTTCTCCCAGCTTTATTCCACATTTTAACGTAACTGCAAAGCAAGATAGTTTTTTTCCTTTTTTTTAAGTTTTGTAGAGATAATTGTCTTTTTAATATGAGGGTGTGTTTTTTAATCCTTTACATATGAGCAACCTTCTGTGGTAGAAGGATATCAAAAGAGAAAGCAGAATACTTTGATATGTTCAATTCCAGCTTTAAAGCTATGTTGCAACAGCCTTCAGAAATTTTCAGACCGGTTTTATTTCTTCATTAATAGATGACATAGGCAGTTATAGGCATTTGGCCTGTACCTTATTATATCTCCAAAGTATTAGTGGACTGATAAGTCATGCCATGTCCTATCTTATGATCAGTTTTATCTCCAGAAGAACAGAGGTGTATTAAAGAGGTATTAAAAAGATTCAGGATGAAGAAAGACCTTTGCAATAGTTTGCAAATAATTTCTGTCTGAGTCCCTGGGAGCAAACAAAATGTAGCAGAATTAATTCAATTTTGCTTTGATTGAGGTATCTTTAGCTGGCTCTCCATACGATAAAATATATTATCCACTAGTGCTCCCCAAGGCATTTCTGACTTTCCTTTATATTAAATATTATTTAAGTACAACCAAAAATATTTCTCACTTTCCTCCACATCCCAATAGTGAAATTCCTAGCATATCCTTTCCATGTACTAAATGGTTTTCCTTTCTTTTTTTGTTGTTGTTTTTTTTTTACCAAATAGATTAGCTTAATAATTTATTGGGAAAACTAGAATGTACTTTCCAAATCAGGGGCTGTATTTACTTATAGAACAACAATAAATAATTGGCCTCAGAAATATTTTGTGCTAAAGTAGAACAGTCCTTCACTTGCCTGTTCTCTTGTACAACACTTTTTCACAGGAACTGGGGACAATTAAAGAATTATTCCCTTGTGTAAAATAAAAGCCATGGAATGCTAGGGAAGGGAACATAAACTTAGGAATTACAAAGATGTTCAATAGATTATGGTCAGTAATGCTGGGAAAAATATTAGGTTTTCTGGAGTAGAGCAGAAGTACATTCTTCTGTGTAGTACTCTTGCATTTTCCAGATTTAAATTAAATAAGCAAATCAAAACATACAATGCCCATAAGCATCATTCTTGGGGGTTTGCTGAAGTTACACAGTTTGAGCAGGTTTATTGTCCTGTAAAGGCACATTTGCATCACGTAGATGTGTCATTTATAGTCTTTCATTAGATTAAAAAGCTGCAAAAGCTCAAACCTTCATTGCTATCTAATAGAATGTAATTCTAATTTTACAAGGTGGACTTGATTCTGTGATCCTATAGGAGACTGGAACATGCAGCCTAGTCATATTTTGTTGGTTCTGGGAAGATTTTCGTTACCCCTTTTTGAGGAATGGCTCATCTTTGATGCCATGAAATATGTAGAACATGATCAGTGTTTTCAAAGCTAGTGCTAAGGAAGGGTCCCACAGAACAATTGTATCCCATAAGATAACCACATGCTCCCCTTCCTTCCTGATTTACAAGCTATGCAACACAGTGCAGTTTTCCAGACTCAGATGTTCTTCCCATTTACTTCCTGAGAAGGAAATGCTCAAAATGTTTACTTGCTGTGATCATGGACAATATTTCCTTTCAAATAGGAAATGATACAACTCAATGTCAGCGTGTAATCTTTTTTAGGAAAACGACAACACCAACATGAGTCTCTAGAATCATGAAAGACTGGCAGATGCTTTTCGCGCTGGCAGCAGTCAATAGTTGGTTTAATCCTTGATACCAATAAAATCCTCAAAGCTGCAGATAAGGAGCCTGTGAATCCACAGCGGTGGGCTCCCTCGCACACAATAGTCTGTGGCTACACTTGTGCACGGTTCTGGAATACTTAAGGCACTCCTCCTGCTCCGAAAGACCAAACATAATGCAAACCTCTTGTTTATCACCAGTTAATGGCAGTCTTTTTAAATGACTAGCAGCATCCTGTTCAGATTATGCTGTATGTCACTTTAGATGCATGACACAATAGTTGTCTTGGAGGGAACAGGTTAAAAATTTTGTCTTCAGCTTGGGGTTTAGTCGGTGCCACATGACTGCTCTGAGCAGTAATACAGTGTGTGCCCCAGCCTATTGTGTAAACACTGTGCAGGATTAATAGGTTGCTGCCCACGAGAACATGCAGCCTCTGGATGCTCTCGGCTACGGGTGGAGGAGGACATGCCTCCGAGAGAGAATTAAAGTATCTTAAAGGGGAGCAACTTGTCTAACTTTGAACTTACATCAGTTCTTCCAGATTTGATTGTATTTTCAAAAGGATACAGAAATTAAGTGGGATAGATTTTGCTACCACATACCATTATAATTATAGTCCCATAATCATATGTAACTAGCTTTTCATAATGATCGTGATATTGATGTTTAGTATCAAATATTTATCCAACCCTAACCCTTCTACAAGCAAACAAACATTGTGCAGAATCTGAGAGGCTATGAAAGTACCTCAAAAAACATCTATAAAGGAATGGCAAAGTACATACTAAGACACTTCTAAAATAATATGATGGCATAAACATCCCAGAGGTCTTATTGATCTTCAGTACCTAAATGCTAGAGTGCTTTTAATAATAGATGAGTGAGACATAAATATGCCATGTAATACTGCATTATCCTAAATAACACCTATAAATTGCCATGTGTAACATAAAATTGAAATATGCTAATGGAACATTGTGTGGATTCTTCCCAGTAAAAGCTGTCAGGAACCTGCCAAAACATTAAAACCAACAGAAATGAATGAGAGAAATTAGTATTTAAGAATATTGCTCATCTTTTTATTTCACTCTTGTTTTTGCAGCAAGTTCCCTCAGGCATTTGTGGTTGAGTTCCAATCCCATGCATTGATCTTTCACACAAAGAGTTGTCCTGCTGAGGTCATCTAGAGTCTTTCCATCATCCTCCCCCATTCCAGAAGCCACCACTTTATTCACGTTGTTCCCTCTGGCACTTGTCAGGTGTCTTACTTTGGATTACCTCTTTGGAGGATTACCTTTGGATTCTCTCATGGGAGAATGGCCATGTCCTGGACTGCCCTGCTGTCTTCATCAAGATAAGGATATTTGGGTCTTCTCACCCTGAGGGCCTTAATTTGTCATTACAGTGCTGTTTCTAAGCTCAATAATAAGCTAGGATAAATAAACTATCAGATGTAGGAACATTATATTTGGATGGAATGAAGATAATTGTGAGTGAACCATGGCCTTGTATGCTATAAGGAAAATTATTTTGAGAAGTTGTGACTGGTGATTAGGGCATTGGTCTGCCTTGGCCTAGAGGAGAGCAGAGCTGCAGCACAGACTACCACAAGTCAGGAACAGCAAGGAGTTGAGCCTGCATTTGACTTTGTTCCTATTTTTAATAAAAACAATTTAGAAACTTCAAAATGTTTCATGAGATTGCGTGTCTTCTAGCCAGTCTTACTCAAATGCTTATAGGTGTTTCATGCTGAGGGAAACACACAAAGTTAATTTCTTTTCCTGGCTGTAGGGACAGATGGGCATTTACCCCACTGCAGGAGACACAGATGCTTTATTTAAGGGTAGTTGATTTTTAGCATGAACTGTATGTTTCAGGTTGGAATTGTTCAGTACGGACAGACTGTAGTCCATGAATTTTTCCTGAATACATACTCAACAACAGAAGATGTGATGGCTGCAGCCACGAGAATACACCAGCGGGGTGGCACGCAAACTATGACAGCCCTGGGAATAGATACGGCAAGGTACATTTGCAAAATATTGACCGGCATAAGGTAGAAACAAAGATAAACAGATATGGTGACGGTTCTGGTTTTATAAATTAAAAATATGATGTGGCTGACATCTGACTTGTTTTTAGGTAAGCAAACAAAATTTAGAAGGAGGGTGAATAAACAGACACTGTCCAGAATCTAGAGCAGTTGTATATGGCACCCTGAAAAGGCAGCTGTCACTTGAATGGAGGAAATAGGGAATAAGAAGAGACATGGAGCAAGGTTGTAGTCCTAAGCAAAGGGCTGACAATCTGATGTCCACACAGAGCAGGTAGGAACTGTGTACGTAGAGGAATGAAGGAAATTAAGTTTTTCACAGGAAACAGGAAAAAATAGAACTTTTTAATGTTAATTTGTCTTCATTCTGAAGTTAAGATTATTATGAGGTTTGAGCTCACACTTGTCAGAAAGCCTATACATTTTATATCCAAAGTCTTTGAAGCTTCTGGATCATTGGGAGCAATAGCATTATTTAGAAATGCTTCCTTTATGAGAAAAATGAAATCTGACTTTTGCAGAACAGGCAGTAAATGCAAAATCTCTCAGACACTTTCAAACTGTACAATGGTGTCCTGGTACCTTTTTTCTTTTCTTCTTTTTTTTTCCAGCATGACAGCATGAGTTTATTCCATAAAAGATTTCCAAACAACCATTTAATGAAATATGCAGCATCTTTCTGATGAACTGCTTTAGTATCTGACCAAAGTTTTGTTGATATGATGTCTTAAATCCAATGATGTTCTTACATATTCACCAGTGATGTTTTCCTTAGATACAAGCAGAAGCTTGAGGGAGTCTGAACAAGTTCAAGAAAACAGAGCCAGCTGACAATTGCCAAATACTCAGAAACCACATGTGGTTCAGAAAGTCCCTGTGCACCACAAACTCTTGCAGGCTTGTATATACAGAAACTACCAGCAAAAGCTTCCTCTGTTCTTGCAGTCTTCCTATCCATCCACTTTTGGCCATCGTCATTGGCAGACCGTAGCTTTAACTCATGTGGCCAGTCTTACAATTCTGTGATATTTTTCTAAAGAGAGGAAGGCCTGCTTCCTTCCTTCTCCTCCAGAACCCTAATCCAACCTCGCCTTTTCTGCTCCCCTCCAGAGTCTGGGTGAGCAGCTGCCCCTTTGCCCATCTGCGGCTGTAGAATTCAACCGCTTGCCCCCACCTTCCTCCACTCACCTGCCACCTACTTCTGCCACATCCCCAACACCCAGTTTTGTTGTAGATGTGCAGAGGTGTGCTGGTAGCTGAATAGTGTGACTACTTGAAGTGCTGCTGTATGGTGGAAATAGGTTGGTTTTTTGTATGTGGGTTTCGGGATGGGCAGGTGTTGGCTGGGGTTTTTTTAAGCTGCCAAAAGCTGTTTTAAGGTGCCAGAAGTTTATCTGGAGAGGGGAAGAATTCTTCACTATCCAGCATTGTATTTTCTGCTGTTGGTCTCAAAAGAATGAATAATGACTGAATGCTTGTGAAACTCTGGCTGTGAACTGTCTTGTAAGTTCCAGCTGTTGTTGTTTGTATTTGTTCATGGTTAATGTTAATCTTTTCCTGCTTCTTAGTTAATATAAAGTCTTTTAGTTTATGGTTGACTGTGTGAATATGGTGCATGTGCTAAATGCTGAAGTTGCCTTTCTCCAAACACTTTATGCTCCCTTTAGGAAAGAGGCTTTTACTGAGGCTCATGGTGCCCGAAGAGGAGTACAAAAAGTAATGGTTATTGTGACTGATGGAGAATCACACGACAACTACAGATTAAAAGAAGTGATCGATAATTGTGAAGATGAAAACATTCAGAGATTTGCTATTGCTGTAAGTGAAATTTAATGGGAAAATTCAGAATCTTAAAAGCATGTTTCATCTTCCAAATGTAATTTCTGTTTAAAAAGTTCATTTCACAGAATTTTTATGGAAATATAATCATTTCAGAGAAGAAAAAAAGAAAGAAGCTGAAAAAAACCCACCATTAAACACTTGCTTTCTGATTTTATAGCACATAAGAAAAAGCAATCTATCTGTCTTCCTGGTAATTACAGGTGTGTGTGCATGTGAAGAAAAAGGAGAAAGCATTTGAGGGGCAGTATAAAATCGAATCCTTTTTGTTAAGAGTAATATTGAATAGAGTGGATTAGTTCAAATCGTAGCTGAACGAGAGAATAAACATGATGGAGGTTAACCGATATCGAGAAATATGGAAACATTAATGATAGATCTGGTGTGAACTCTCCACTGTATTTGTGTATTCTATACTCAGATCATCTGTTTTCTCGTGTTTATTTTGAAGGTACATTGGATTGTTGTTTCTCCTTTCCTATCTCTCTTTGTTTTGGTACAATGAGGTGGTATGGAACCATACAACTTCAAGAAAGATGTTATCTTTAGTTTAGAGAAAGACATAAACCAAAAGTTGAATCCAGCAGCACACAAATTTTCAGTACTTTCCTTTGTAAAGCTAGAGATCATTAAAGAAAAAGTCATCCTTGAAGCTGCAATAATTTTTAGCAATAAAATCGCTGTCCAGAACCAAATTTGGATTGTTCCAGTGTCCAGGAATGCTAGAACATGTGATTTTGTTTTTTATTTCCCTCTCAAAGTTAAGTGTATAGAGCACTTTTTTTCTATGAAAAATATTTGTCAGTGTGGGAATTGGAGAAGGGAGTCATTCTGTTCTGAGGCATCCTGAGTTTTTACATCAGTGGTGTTAAAACTGCAGTCCAAATCTTGTACTGTCTTGTACTGTGTTGGAGTTGTTAGCACTGGATGCAAGTGTTGTTGTATATGTATTTATAGGGCAAATCTGCACACAAGAAAGAATTATCCTAAGCCTAATTAACATGTCATTAATTGCTCATAACCATGTTATGATGAGAACTGGTGGTACCTATGCAGAAGCCAGTGCAATTGTGTATTCTGGTTTGGGTTTTGTTGTGTTGTTTTTTTTTCCTAAATTAAGGCCTACTTCAACAAATCATAGAATCATAGACTAAATCATTAGAATTTTGTGAAGGGGAAAAAAGGACAGTTGAGGACAGCAGACATTACACTATACAGTTGCTTTGTTTGCTATTGTTGACACTTGCAGAAAAACGACCAAGCTCTCATACAGTTCTGTTCTCATTGGAAAAGAATGGTTTCAAATCAATTTGAGGGAGGTTTTAACAGAGCAAATTAAGGTTAGATATGATTTCCCAATATTCTCTGACAACCTGCCTCAAAATTATCTTTTAAAACAGGTTATAAAATTTATCCTTGACTACTTTTTTTTTAATTCTCTTTAGATTCTTGGCAGCTACAACAGAGGAAATTTAAGTACTGAGAAATTTGTAGAGGAAATAAAATCAATTGCCAGTAAGCCTACTGAAAAGCATTTCTTCAATGTCTCAGATGAATTAGCTCTTGTAACTATCGTTGAAGCACTTGGAGAGAGAATCTTTGCCCTGGAAGGTATGACATTATTTGAAATTTTACTTCATGCATGCATTACAACTGAAGCAAATAGAAGATCACCTGCTTTTATCTTCCTTTGCAAAGTATTGTGCTGCATAAAATGTATTATGCATGTATTTTTTTCATGCTGATCATAAAAATATTTTACAATAGACATCAAAAACATAGATAATGATCTGAAATATATTCAGATGGGTTAGAGCCTGTGGAGACGATAGCCTGAAAGGGTAGGTAACCATTACTGTTTTAGCTGGGGTAGACATGAAGTTGCCTTCCCTTAGGTAAAAAAGCGTTGCCAGACCATATCCTGATTACCCCATGATCATGAGTTCATCTGCCTATACTTTTAGGTTCTCTTTTTGGTTAGTTGTTAATTACAACATATTACTTTTCTGTACAAGTTAACATGGACTTGGTGTATAGAGTTGACAAGACATATTTTTCCTTTGGAAATGTTCATGATACTCAGATTTCAGCACAGAAAAGTGATACTCTCATAATGTCTGCTTACATTCTCCATGGAAGTTAGGCAATGTTGTCCAAATTTCTGTTTGTTTCAATCACACTACTGGTAACAGAAGACTAAGTTTATAAGTTATAGATTACACTGGCCAACTCTGAAGGGATTAATGTCATACAAAGAAACCATCCATCTATTTGGACTTATTTTTTTCAACATCTCAACTTTCTAAGTAGCTGGAATAGTGTAGTTTCCAGCTGGAACAAAAGATAATGTTGACTTGAATGTCAAGAAATAATACAAATATGAGACTGTATTTGAAAGTTTTTTAAATTGGAGCTATATTTCTCAGACATATTTAGGTATTTTTTTAGTGTACCATTTAGCTTGATCAAATGTTACTATTTTCAGCTGATTATTACTAAATATTTTTTCCAGTTTATGTGTTCTTATCTTTTTATTTTCTGGAAGTTTTTGTTTTCCTCACTTTTGAAACAAATTCATTTGAGGAGAATTTAATCTCTCTAAAGCCCAAAGTTTAGCCTCCTTAAGCTCATTGAGTACTTCAAAGTTCATTGACTAGGTGGCTCTTTTAAGTCCCTGTTTCTTGGGAAGAATACACTGTCAGTGGAAAAATAGTTGTTCAAACAGAAACTGAAAACTTAGTCTTCGATTTGTGCTTTGTACTTCGAGAAAAGTGAGAAAAATCATTGTCTTTCATTAATAGAATAAAATCTGTTAGTTACACCTATTAAATGTAATGGATATGGAATAAAAAGTTAATCAACTGATAGTCACGACAACAGACAAGGGACCTAACATGACTGAGTTTCTGGACATCTGTTTACTCAAATTCAAGGTTTCATGCCATAGCTCAACCCTTTGAACAACCAAACACCACTGGAAGAGGCAGTCTCGCTCTGTAACGCTCCACCTTGTCACTTTTAGGAATCAGTAGCCATTAGGTAGTGCCTGTCTGTCACAGTAAACCCCAGCCTCCAAACGGTGGAGTAAATTGTGCTGGCTTAAACTCCCTGCTGCTGGGGAGAATGCTTGATATCTAACTAGTCCATTGACTTCAGTAATTCATTCCTCTAATAATAAGAAAAAATTACAAAACATTTGAACTTTAAAAAAGTTCTGTAGCTTAATAAAATATCCAAACAAATGTAGTTATGTTGACAGTCATGAAACTAACTGTTTGAATAAATTGTAGAAATGTTATCTGTTTATGTGATAGTCAGCTCCTGAGATGACTAATCCTTGTGTTGTGGTTTAACCCCACTCAGCAACTAAGCACCACACAGCTGCTTGCTCACCCTCCCTCCTGCAGTGGGGTTGGGGAGAGAATCAGACAACAACAACAACAACAACAACAACAACAATAATAATAATAATAATAATAATAATAATGGGATATACAAACCAAGTGATGCACAATGCAATCACCACCCACTGACTGATGCCCATCCCATCCCCAAGCAGCGATTGCTGCCTCCCGGCCAGCCCCCCCCAGTTTATATACTCGGCATGACGTCATACGGTATGGAACAGCCCTGTGGCCAGTCGGGGTCAGCTGTCCTGGCTGTGCCCCCTCCCAGCTTCTTGTGCACCTGGCAGAGCATGGGAACCTGAAAAGTCTTTGACTGGTGTAAGCACTACTCAGCAACAACTAAAACATCAGTGTGTTATCAACATTATTCTCATACTAAATCCAAACCACAGCACTATACCAGCTACTAGGAAGAAAATTAACTCTATCCCAACTGAACCCAGGACATGTTATCATCATGTCTTCCAGTATTTTGGTACTCTAAGCATATTGTGCCTATTTAAGTATCAACAAGTTCTGCAGTACTCCTTGAATTCAGCTTTAATTTTCTGCAAAAGGTGTAGTAACAAATATATATTTCTTGGATATTATTACTTTTTATTTAACATAAACCTATTATAAAGTCTTATGAGGAGCGGCTGAGGGAGCTGGGGTTGTTTAGCTTGGAGAAAAGGAGGCTGAGGAGAGACCTTATTGCTCTCTACAACTACCTGAAAGGAGGCTGTAGCGAGGTGGGGGTCGATCTCTTCTCCCAAGTAGCAAGTGATAGGACAAGAGGAAACAGCCTCAAGTTGCACCAGGAGAGGTTTAGTTTGGATACTAGGAAAAATTTCTTCACCAAAAGGGTTGTCAATCATTGGACCAGGCTGCCCAGGGAAGTGGTTGAGTCTCCATCCCTGGAGGTATTTAAAAGATGTGTAGACATGGTGCTTAGTGACATGGTTTAGTGGTGGACTTGGCAGTGCTAGGGTAATGGTTGGACTCGATGATCTTAAAGGTCTTTTCTAACCTAAATGATTTTATGATTCTATGATATTTGTGCCTTGATATATCTGCCATATTTTCAATTTTTATTTTATATAATCTTAGCTGTATTACAAAAAATATGCATTTGAAAAATAAATTGTGGAAAATTCTTTTCATCCACACTGTAAGAGATGAGCTAGGTGATCTCACCACTCCCAAAAGGCTTCTTGATTTCCAGATTTTCAGTAGGAACTCAGAGTGTGCTAAGATTTCTGTGTAAGACACCTGTGATATAAGAAATGTCACTTCCTCCACCTGTGAAAGTCCCAGAAATAACATAGTCTGGCTGCAGGGGAAGTCAGAATGGAAACTGGAAATGGGATCTTAGCTTTATGTCAAAACATAGCAAGGTTGAGTTGCTGCAATGGCTTGGTAAGGCTGGAGCTAGAAGATGCTGACTAAATCAGTTTCTGTTGATTCTTCAAGAATGGTTTTCTGTCCCTCCCAAAGCATTTCAGGAGCTATTCTAGATTTGCAGCTGTGTCCATGGACACATTATTGTGGTGGGAGAGAAAAGCAGATAATTCTGTCCCACCTAGCTTTCTGGTGACAATCCAGCTTATTGGATGTGTGCAAAATAGAAAAGATTAATTAACCCGATACACTGTAGTTGAATTAACTTCTGTGCATAACATGGAGGTCACAGGAACTTTCATTCTTGAAATTCCGTATCTGAATCTGTTTAAATTCTCAATCTAAATAGCCTCCTGGTAGTATAATAGTACATTTGATTTTTTTCTTGCATTTCTTGTTTTCTTTTTGGTTTTGGCCTTTAAAAAAATGCAAAGGAAAATTGAGAGAGAGTTGAAAAATCAAATCCAACAAAAACCCACACTTGACAGCCAGCGGATTTTTACACATAATCTTTTTCATATGCCTGTGTGTCTTATGTCATGGACTTCTGGTTTTAACAGAAATTTTATGTTTTATCCAACCCATAGGCAGGCACAAATGTTTTTTCACAAAATATCCTTTGTAGGATGCTTGGCAGTTTGAAACTCAATGGAAAGTCAGACTGGGAGCTATTATCTAAGCAGCATTCAGAGCTGCACACACCAACAGTACAAGCATTGTACCCTTCTTCAGACTGTGAGAGTCCTGCCTTTCTCAGCTCATTAAGGAGCATCCTTTACTACATGAAAATATTGTTTATCAGCAAATGCGCAACTTCACAGTTTAATGCTTATAGAGGAACATAATTTTTTCAGACTTAGCAAAGCAGCTACATCTTGTGAAACATGATTGCCTGTGTTTGTGTGTCAAACATTTTGTGTTTGAGATCATGTCTCCTTCCTATGCCTGGCCATAAGTCCCGACAATTAACAAAGACATCATGTCCCAGGGAGCAACCTCTGTGGTTTAGCTGCTGAATATCAAAAGTTCAGTATTATTTAATAATCCAGATGCCTGGAATTTCATGCAGCCATGGCTTGCTATGCCTCGGTTTCATTCACACAGTTGGAGGTTTGCCTCAGCACTCATCTGGTAGCAAATCGTGAACTCTTCCTGGACAAGCATCAGAGCAGATTTCATAGTTCCCCTCTACTGCCCATTACCATATCTTGCTCTCAAGGAGGAATCAATATGCAGAATATAGTTGCCTGACTTAAGTAGTGGTGCTTAAGGTGGCAAAATAGTCCTTGAGTATTGCTTTTAAGTAGAGGAAGAGGCAGACCTTTCTCTTCCCTGATATTTCAAGTGTACCTGGGAGCAAAGCAGCCCATCAGAGTTTAATAACTGGCATATGACTACCTGACAAGATACTGAAACTAGTACTAAATCACCTGATACATTTCTTATTCAAAGTCACTTAAGAAAATCAGGAAGATTTTCATGTAACTTTCTGGGCAGGATTATAGTTCCCAAGCGCTGCCCTGAGGCTTATGAATCTTGGACAGCTGGGATTTTCCTATGTTGTTTTTTGCAAAGGTTCATACAAACATCAAGTGTTTTTCATTTAAAGTTCTACCAGCTGCCTACGAATTTTTAGTTGCTTGAATACAAGGCCAGGGTTACATGGCTGGTGTTTTATTGTTCGCCTAGCTCAAGTGGAAAATGGTTTAACCGTATTAATCAAACATTCCAAACATACTTACCATCAGCCTGAGGTCAAATCTGGTCAGTTTTAGCCCAGAAATATTTCTTGGACAAGTTCTGAGACATGATCTTAAAATGGAAACTCTTGTACTTAATGGTAGCATTTAACACAGATCTTAATTTCTGTATTTATTATAAAAATCTATGGCAAACTATATTCACTGAATATTCTAGTTAATTATGCTATCCTTTACTATCATGTGAATATTTTCATTACACTGTTCAGATACCTTTTCAGATTGAAACTAATTCATTTTTGAAACATAATTTTTTTCTGTTTAATAGCAACAACAGACCAGCAGGCAGCCTCATTTGAAATGGAAATGTCTCAAGCTGGTTTCAGTGCTCATTACTCTCAGGTAAACAAACTGTTTGAAAACAGAAGTTCTTTTACAAAGTAGATTTTTGTTGGTGATGGTATCAATTTGGAATAAGTATTTCAGAATTCTTTGTACAGTCCTGTTTGCTGTTGGAAGTTTCCCATAACCAGGGTTTTTTTTGTAAAAATATATGTAAGGAATGATTATAAACAATGATAGCATAAGAGAATAGGAGCCTTCTTCACACAAACTCTAAATTTAATGCTCCCATAGCACTTTCTATCAATCAGGAGAATAGTCTATAATATGTTAAGAAAGACAGAGACAGACTTTTTCCAGGGCCTTTAGTGACAGGACAAGGAGCAATGTTTTTGAACTGAAAGAGGGCATATTTAGATTGGATATAAGGAAGAAATTTTTTATCATGAGAGTGGTGAGACACTGCAACAGGTTGCCCAGAGAAGTGGTGGATGCCCCCTCCCTAGAAGTGTTCAAAGTCAGTTTGGATGGGGCTTTGAGGAACCTGATCTAGTGGAAGATGTCCCCCATGGCAGGGGGGTTGGAATAGATTATCTTTAAAGGTCTGTCCCAACCCAAATCATTCTATGATTCTATGAACTATAAAACTGTTCTCTTTAAATATTAATGTATAAATTGATATTGCATTGTGTTGGTGAAATTGAGACAGAAGATATATAAAAAGGGTATTTCTGTCATGGATATGATCTGCATTATTAGTAACACAACATATTCTTAGTTCTGTTAACACATTGCATACCTCAGTTCTCAGGGGGTAAATATTTATTAAACTGGGATGCAAAAATCCTTGGGAATTTGTATTAGCAGAAAATCACTCCCTACGTATTTTATTTATTCTTTAAAAATCAAAACATATCCATTGTGGTGATCTGTTCAGTGTACACAAATGAAATTTAAAATTTCACAAGATCAAGAGAACTGGGAAGAGTTAAGCTTTAAAGGTACAAAAAAGTAGTGACAGTGGAAAAGAACACAATAGGAGAGTAACTGAACTGAACACCAAGCAATCCAAGACAAACTGACATCCATAGAAAAACCTGCAACATGACTTTGTATACAGCTCAGCATATCACTGGTAAAAAAGAGAATAAAAGACCTTCAATATGATTTAACATAAATACTTTATTGCAGAAGTACTCTCCATTCATTTTTACTCTCTGCACGACATTACAGATGATTCTTCAGATGGTGTATCATACCTTAGAAAGAAGTATTACCCTGATAGGGAGCACGAGGATTATTTATAAGATTATCTATTTGGTAGAGTATATTCTTGAAGTTCACAAACAACTCACTTCAGAAGTGGGTCTTCAGTCCTTGGTGCATTGACAGACTCAGGGTCTCTGGTGTCTGTCTTATCTAGAAGGCCACGTTCATACCTTTAGGCAAGAAAGGTCAGCAAACCATTTCTCATTGACAAAAGGCTCTTGCACAATATACAAGACTCATAGATTCAACAGAGAAAGGTCCAAGTTTCTGAAAGGTTGTCTGGGGAATGCATTTAAGTGTTGTATTCTGTGATTCGCTTTGCTAAGTCCCTTTTGTCTTTCTATTTGGCCTGCAATGGTGGGCTGAAGCTGTAGGAGCTGTGTTTCGTTCTGCTGCTTTTCCTGAATGGCTTTTTTTTTTCTTTTTTTTTTTTTAAGTTGGGTGCATTTTTAACAAGAAGTGGGAGACATACTATGATTGTAGGGGCCATACTATAACAGGAAAAGCATGACTAAAATATATATGGGAAACATTACCCAAATGTGACCATCATGGTCAATGAATGTCTAAAGATGTTTCACATAGAGAATAGGCTTTTTGTTTTTCTCTGTGTAAGGATTGGATCATGCTTGGAGCAGTTGGAGCATATGACTGGAACGGCACAGTGCTGATGGTGAAGGACAGTGGTACTTCAATGCCAACTAATGACACTTTTCGTGACAGGCTTTCAGAAAAAAATGAACCCCTTGCAGCCTATCTAGGTAAGAGACATTGCCTGTCTTATAACGCTTTTTGACAAGACCTCTCTCAAAACTTTCACAAAGAGTATCTTACATAATACGATCTTATATTCTAGAAGCCTGGGAAAATTTATAATGTATGGACATGTCTACTGTATGATTTTCTTGTTCTTTTTTAAAAAAATTACTACTGCTACAATGAAAAAACTAGTCTAAATACTTACGTACCTAAGTATGTCTAGACTTTCCCCAACAGAGATGTCTAATCTGTTCAGAGAAGATTTCATAGATTCCTCTAGTATTCTTATCAAGTTTTTCTATACCTTGATAGTTAAAATGTTTTATACGATATTCACTCTAAATCTTTGCTTAAAATTGAACTGATTTCTGTCACTCAATGGACAAGAACAACAGTTTACCACTATCTTTTTTTATAATAATGTTTTGCATACTGGCAGGCTATTGTTTTCCTCTCAGCCTTTTCTACAAAAAGCACCAGTGGCCTTGCTCTCTCCACTAGGTCTTGCTTTCTACACCTCATGGTTCTGTTTGCTCTGTTATCTCATTTAAGCCACATTTTCACTGATCAAGAGTCAACACTAGAATAATTTCATTTTTTTCCCTAAGTACACTGTTTATCTTCTTTGCAGAATGCCACTAGCTATTTTTTTAATATCTCAAGTTTGGTAAAGTAATTTTAAATGTAGATTTTAAGTTTAAAGCAAAATTTTAAGTCTTCTTTCACCCAAGTTGTTAAATTCTTAATATTAAACAGAGCTAGGTTCAAAATGCCCCCAGAATCACATTTGCAAGACTCCGTTAGTTTGACAGTGAGCCAGTGACAACTGTTCTTTGAAAGTAGCTTTTCAACCAGCTATTCACAAGTTATTTCATCAGTACCATCGTATCACACACTGTGTGAGAATAGCAAAGTGAACATGACTCACCAGCCTGTGAACAGGTTTAATAACACAGTGGTGCTCATGACTCTGACACTGTAGACAAATACACATCCAGCCCTTTTAATTAACTCTGCTATTATTCTCTAGCATAAGTAGGGCTAAACATCTAGTTGTAGAATAAGCCTTAAAAAGGCTCTGAATCACAGCAAGTATTTCTGATGCATTCTGTGTATACTGCATCTTGACTTCTTTTCTCCTTCCTAGGATATACTGTGAATTCAGCATTGACACCTGGAGGTGTACTGTACATAGCAGGACAGCCACGATACAATCACACTGGCCAAGTTATCATTTATAAAATGGAAGGAAGAGAGGTACAAGTACTTCAGAGGTTAAATGGAGAACAAGTAAGTATGCATTCATGATTAACAGATGAGAGGAATATGGCATGAGAAACAGAAATAATGATTTCAAATAAGAACTCTGCATCAGAAGAGCAAATGAAACTGGGAGTTGTAAGCAAGATCAGAAGGAAATGTTAGGTAGATGCTCTGGTATAGTAAGTAATGGGAAGTGAACTCTACAGTAGTCAGAGACCCTTGGAAATTTTCTCTTTGGGGGTTAAACCTTCAGCATTGTCAAAGCAGTTGTAGCCATCTCCGTACTTGTAATTTTCTCTGTCTGCTGAGTGGAAGGGCTATGTCACTGGCAGGAAACAGGTGCGACAAGCAGGGTTCTGTGCGAGAGCATCAGCTGGGATAGCATGAAATATTGAATAGCTGCTTGTTATATTGAGTAGCAGCTCACTGAGAGCTGTTCCTGCAGGAAAAAAAACAAGTAATCACATAATTAAAGACAGTAGTATAATATAATGCACATGAGGGTTGAAAGACCTGCATACTCAGGTCTCCCCAGACTGCAGTACAAGCTTCTTTCAGGAGAATTCAGGTTACCTAATTTTCATCTATAGCCAATGTCTGCAACTCAGCTAACCAATCAGTCCTTTTAGAGTCAATGAAGGAAAGTAGGCATTTTTAAGGTTTGAGGGATCTGGCCTACCTGAAGCATCTTCTGTTAGGTGACATGAGATGCATACTGCACTAGATGGGACTGCTTCTCACATTAAGTGTAAAGGAAAGAGAGGGTGTCTAGCTTAGATGTGAAGTGAATATATCCCACACCTTGTACGCAGTCAATGAATGCATCTAGCTCTTCGTGTAGATCTTGTTCTTCTGCATTTAGTGGCAACTTGGGAGTTTTGAAGACTGCCTGCACTGTGTTGTCTCAGAGCTTTTGTCCTCCACCGTCCTAGCATTTTCCCCTGGCAAGCCTAAGACCATTGATTTTGCTCCTTCTATGTATTATTTTTGGGACTGAAGACAAAACTAGCTTCCCCAAGACACTTCTATTCAAATGCTGTCTTAAGAGCTCCTACTCCCCTTAGCAGGTAGAAGGCACCATTTGTACCTTTCAAACTCAGGAGAGCTGAAGGTTGAATGGACAATTCTTAAATAAAAAAATCTGACAACAAACCCTAAAACAGAAAACCAGCTTCAAAGGCAAACAGACCAAAAAGATCTTCCAAGTAGCAAAGAAAATTTCTGCCTAATTCTTAATATTTGGCATTGTTGTAAGCAACCATACACCAGGTCTCTGAAGAGGAGATGTTGCTGACTCTGTCTCTGATCTATACCTTGCATTTTCCTGCAGATTGGGTCATACTTTGGCGGTGTTATTACCACAATTGATATCAATAGGGACTCATTTACAGACCTTCTTCTTGTTGGAGCACCTATGTATATGGGAACTGAGAAAGAGGAGCAAGGGAAAGTATATGTTTATGGCCTAAACAAGGTAAGGATGGTGTTTATTGACCAGGAACAGAACATACTCCTTATTATCTTCATGTCCTTATTTTAAAGAAATACGATAATTTGAGCTGGGGAGGGTGACTTGTTGAAAACAGAGACACATTATTTTGACAATTGAGCATGTAATACAGATTGTTTTTTAAAACTTTCTTCTCAAACTCTTGTTTTCTCACCTTTTTTTCTAACAGAGTATATTATATAGATAAGCACTATATCCTGTAAGGTGCAATATGGCATAGATACAAATTTATAGGATTAATTTTCTGTCACATTTTCTTTTTGCTTTCACAGATTAGGGAACAATAGGGCTCATCCATCCTGAAAGTGTGTGCTCCAATATGCTTGTGACTTGCTTACCAACCTAGAGCTAAACCCCATACATCCAACAGCTTTTAAACAGGTCACGACTAGATTGAGGAATATACCAGCTACACCTCAACTTCTTAATTTGATAAGTCTCTCCTTCCAATGTCTATGCATACTTTTTCTTCTTTTTTTTCTTCTTTTAGTCCTGTACCATTGTGTATCGTTATAACAGTTATCAAAGCATGTCCTAGCAATTATGGTCTCCTAAAATACTATTGCAAGAAAAGGACCTGAAGAGACTGGATTGATTTGACAAGGAACTCTTCCAGTTTCTACATGCATGTTGCTAACAACAAATTGCTGGTGAATAGGGTTGGCGAGAAAACAAGAATTCCATGTCCTCCAGTAATGTGAGAGTTTGAAATTAGTTTTTCCTGTGCTTCCTTTTGTCCATCTCCACATAAAGGAGATACAGTATCTGCTTGCTGCTGCTAATCTCTAACATGGAACTCATGGGGCCAATCTCTTGGAAAGATTGCTTACATACCATACTGTATGTGTGTTTTTGATCTAGGATGCACACTGGACCAGAAGAAAATATATGTTAGGCCATGGAGTATTTGACTACTGAGGACAAAATTCAGCCTATGTAAAAGAAAAGCTGTCTTTTGTTCTGGAATAACAGTATTGTCATCTGTGTTTCATCAGAAACTTGGCTTACTTCTCAGATTAAGAGAATGCCTTTAAAAGAACTCTTTACACTATCTTAAGAATTAATTGGTTTACTTAAAATAACATCCAAATATTGTTATGATACCACACTTTCCTGTGAACCTCTAACTTCAAAAAATATGTGTATCTAGATGCAGAAAGAGAGGGAGCAAGAATGTCTTTCCCACCCACTGCTCAGAAAGAACATTTGAATTATAGTCACAGAATCACAGTTTTTACAGTGCACTCAATCACTAAGAATAGGATGTAATTGTTTCATTTGATTCATCAGTTTGTCTTCTGGACAGGAGCTCTTAAAAGCCTGCATTGCTAAAATGTTGATGGAAATCCACAAACTCTAAATCTGTTCTTTCACAGACAAATTTTGAATATCAGATGAGTCTTGAACCTATAAAGCAAACATGCTGTTCGCCGTTAAAACACGACACCTGCAAAGTTCTTAAGAATGAGCCTTGCGGTGCACGCTTCGGGACTGCAGTTGCTGCAGTGAAAGATCTCAACCTTGATGGATATAATGACATTGTAATAGGTTCTCCCTTAGAGGATGATCACCGGGGAGCTGTTTATATTTATCATGGCCATGGCAACACAATCAGTAAAAAATATTCACAGGTATGAAGTAAAACTTTACAGATTGGCAGACACTGTAACTGTATGTAGCACAAATCCTGTTTTCCTGTGCCTTCCCAACATAGAATCAAACTGTGAACTTCACCTGTCATGACAGCTTCTTTTTTAAGATGCTCTGTACTTTTAAACTCAGTCTAATTTAACTGAATTTGACTCTAATAATGTTAGAAAATATATTTGCATGTTTTCATTAGAAACCTTCTGAAATGTTCTGTACAGCCAGAAAAGTAGATGTTTTGTAATTCTGAAAATTTATAGTGTGTTCATCACCATGGTAACCCTTTTAGGAGTATTGTAATGAAAATTTAATATATTTAAAGAGTGTAAGAGCTGTCTAACAGCCAACAAATGCATCTTGAATGTTCTTATAAAATCCTTCAATATGCACTGCATAAACCTCTTAATGCTTTTCACAGCGTATTGCATCAGGTGGAGATGGGGAAAAAGTGAAATTTTTTGGCCAGTCTGTGCATGGAGAAATGGATTTAAATGATGACGGGCTGATTGATGTCACCATTGGAGGCCTTGGTGGGGCTGCCCTCTTCTGGTACGGATACTCACTGCAGCTGTCAGGCCAGAAAATAACCATTTGTCTTGGGATACTGATGTAACTTGCATGTGCTACTGTTTGGACTGTTTTGAGGATACTGTTTTCATCTCATGCTTTGACACTGGCTATGAATCTTCATATTTTCATGTCTCTCTGGAGGAACGAGTATAAAACTTAATGGATAACAGTAATAAATATAGGAGTGTTTTAGAGACCTTGTTAGCCTAGTATGAAGACCTTGTCCTCGTAGACCATATTCAAAATAGAAACTGATTCGACGTGTAGCACTAAGTAAAATATAAAAAACCGCCAAGCGTTCTCTTTTTCACACTTTATTGTTTATTATCTTATTAGCAATATCAAGGACAGGTTCAAATGTAAAGAGGTCACTAAGAAAACTCATTTGACTTCCTAATAAGAAAACTCAAGTTTGACTCCCTACAGAAAATCTTAGAAAAATTTAACTTAACTTTCTGGTTAACAGTGAATTCATTTTCTTCACAAAAGAGCATGATTCAGGTGGCATAATGAGCAATATATTTTTTAAGGGAGAAGAGAAAAATACCAGTAAGAGAAATAAACAAACTAACGTGTAATCCCTCATTTCTAAAGTACAACTAAAACCATTTCTCTCTCTGGTAAGGCAATTGCTAAGCCAGTTCCTTGCTTTTCTTGTCCTGCTGTTCCACCTAACTCACTTTCTAGGTGATCAAGTTTATCAGGTCTTGCTACCATCCTCAAGCTGCCAGCTTCTCCTCACCTTCATCTGGTAGTTTGCCTTTCGAAAACCTCTGTGTGTGAACACGATGAGATACCTCTTCCCTGCATTGTTTAGATCACAAATCTGAAGAAAGCTATTTTGCCAGCTAAATCTTCTGCTGGTTTAGTACACCAGCATACCCTGTCTCAAGGCCAAAAGGGATCTGAGCCTGAGCAAAGGGAGAGGCAGGGAGCATCTGGTATCTATTCTAAAGCAAGTACAGCACTGTGGAGAAACCCCGTGACCATTTTCTCTGTAATTTGTTGTTTACTGGCACTAGGTATAGAGTGTATCATTAATTATTTGTCTAGATGATCACATATGTGTATTTTAATCTTAAATGTTGCACATTTTGTAAGTTCCTTCTTAAGTTAAAAAAAGTTGCTGCTATTATTTTCAAGGCACTTTTTCTGTTTGTGTTTTTGTTAAGGTCTCGTGATGTGGCTGAAGTAAATGTTTCCATGCAATTTACACCCAAAAGCATCAATATCCAACAACAAAATTGTCAGATAAATAAAAGAAAAACAATATGCATAAACGCCACAATTTGTTTTAAGACCAGGCTAAAGTCAAAGGAAGATGCATTTGAATCCAGTAAGTAGATAAGCACTAAGATATGGAATCTTTATGCTATAAAACTGCTATGCTTGCATTCATTTATTGCTCCAAAAATGGAATGCAACTCTTCTAAATTCACTATTCCAAGTGCATTTAAGATACTGGGGAAAACAGAATGTGTAGAGGCAAATTAGCTCATAATATTCATCTCAACTTCCTTTGCAGGTCTGCAATATTGGATTACTCTTGACTCACAAAGACAAATATCTCGAAGCTTGTTCACAGAAAGCCATGAGAGGAAAATGCAAAAAAATATAACTATCAAGGGGTCAGAATGTATTAAACATAACTTCTACATGTTGGCAAGTAAATCATTTAAAGTGTTTTTCTCATGTTGACATTATAATAACCCAAATTTATTCCATTAATTGTGAATTGAACAACAAAATCTGCATCCAGAATTAATCTTAATAAAATACATATAGTGTGTTTACTACTTAGGATTTATATATTTGTGTATATATATAGATATAAACTATTTACTTATATGTACAGTCTATTTACCTTTGTCTCTTTGTTTGCGTCTGTCTTAAGAAAGAGCATAACACACTTAGTGGAACCAAGCAGCTACCGTGGTTAGCAGTTTAGGTGCATTCAAAACTCAGCAGGAGCATGTGAGCTGGAAGTCTAGTTTGCGTACTGATGCAATTCCTCCTTCTAAAATATAGGTAAAAAAACTCACATTGAGATAGAGAATAATTATTCACTGCAAAACAGGAATGTAATTAGCAACTGTGAGTATGAAATTGCCCAGATTGTAACTAATGTGCAGAGTGAATGGAGATGTATATTATAACCTACTGACATTTAAAATGTTTAGTGGCTTCACAGTTGTATCATAATTCAAAACTAATGACAAATGATGCCCAGAATTTGCTTGAATATGCAATGCATCTCTTAACAGCAGGCATCAGTTTGACTTCACACAAGGTGATATTGCTGCTGTTTGTCTTATTGATCCTTTAAGCACAACTAAAAGAGGAAAGTCTATGAGTTGACTGTTCTGAGGCATTCTTAAATGTAACTGTGTTGGACATGCTCAGGCTATGTGACATTTTTATGATGAGATGAGATGATACACAAAAACTGTAGTAGATATTTATAAGGATTGGCTTGCACAAGAAATGCTTTATCATCAATGGCAAGCATTCAAATGCTTCTCTAGCAAGGATGGCGACAGTGTGACTGAAAAATATTTACTTCAGCATTGTTTGCATTTTTTTAACCTCCTTAGATATTAAAGTGAATGTCCATAACAGCAATTTTGTTTTCTTTATGTTCTAGG